TTTTTTTTTTTTGAGGTGATTTTTTTCCATCTTGTCATTTTGTCCAGAGGAGAATAGATGAATGAGAGAACAAAATGTAAAAAAAATACTAAAAGGGTAACAATGACCCCAGAAAATTCTATATATGCTAAACAAATCAGAAGAGACCCGAAATGGGGGGGGGGCGGAGAAAGAGGGGGGAAAAAAAGAAAGAATATGATCAGGCTGGTGAATATAACAGCCACACACTAGTTTTGGGGTGTATTTTGGTCGTTAGAAGAAATTGCCTCCCAAAATTTTAAATAAAGGAAAACATATATATGTATATATATACAAAAATAAGGGTAAATACAATGAAGGGATGGAATATGACTGTAAAGATGAAAATTAAAAAAAGATTTTAAAAAAGGAATTGGTAAGATAAGAAGTTGGTTGAAAAAAGAATGAAAAAAATTTTTTAAAAATGTGATCAGGCGGGAGACTAGGACAATGTCATACACTAGATTTAGGGTATATTTTGGTCTGTTAGAAGAAACTGTATCCCAAAATTTTAAAGAAAGGAAAACATATATGTACAAAAAATAAGGTTAAATACAATGAAGAGATAGAATATGACTGTAAAAATGAATAATTAAAAAATTTTAAGAAAGGAATTGATAAGATGTTGGTTGAAAAAGGAAAGAAGAAAAATTCAACTAAAAAATCAGAAAAAGAAAAAATAAAATTAAAAAAATTAACTTTGAAAGACTAAAGCATCCTGGGAAAAAAGCCATGAATTCCAGTATTCCCCTAGCCCTGGAGTTCTGCTGTTCTCATTGATTGGTAAACTTGGTCTTGGCTGGCTCTTCTTGCTGATCTGGGGGAGGGGCCTGTTACCGTGGTTCTCAAATGTCTTTGCTGGAGGTGCAATTGCCCTGCCCTTGCTGGGGGCCGGGCTAAGTAATCTGCCCGGGTTTGCTCTTGGGAGCTTTTGTTCCCTGAAAGCTTCCCGCACAACTTTGGAGAATGAGAAAAAAAATGGCAGCCTCCCAATCTCCACCCCGGAGGAGCCGAGAACTTGGGGCCCCACTCCTCAGTGAGCCCCCAGAGAAAAGCAGTCAGTCACTCCCATCTCCTCGGTCTCCGGCCACACTCTGTGCTCACCCGGCTTGTGACCAAGCGTTTCTATCTCTGGCACACGCCCCCGTGTGGAGTCTTCAAACCCAGCAGATCCCTGTGGTGCGCTCCCACACCGCTCTTCCTGGAGGAGGAGGGGAATCTCCCCAGATCTGCCGCTTGTTGGGTCCCTGCTGGAAGAACAGTGGCCTGACTGTGCTGCAGATCACGGTTTATGGCAACCCCGAGTTGAGAGCCTGCTCCTTGGCTCCATCTCTGCAGCCAGCTTCCCTGCTCTGATACCTAGGAGCTCTGCTGCACTCAGGCATCCCTGGTCCTGAGACCACACTGTCCCCGCAAGGGTTCTACCCCTGGCTTAGCCACTGGAGTGACATCCCTCAGCAGAGCAGACTTCTAAAAGTTACGATTTTGTGCTCTGCTGCTCTATCACTTGCCAGAAGTGGCCGACGGAGGCCCCCTCCCCTGCCATCTATCCTCCTGAATATCGCCTCAGATTCACTTCTCCACACGTCCTAACTTCCAGAAAGTGGTCGCTTTTCTGTTCATAGAGTTGCTGCTATTCTTTTCTTTGATCTCCTGTTGAGTTTGCAGGTGTTCTGAATGGTTTGATAACTATATACCTGAATTCCTGGGACCAGACGAAATTTAGGTCTCCTACTCCTCTGCCATCTTTCTCCTCCCCTCTCAGTGGGATTTTAATAGGGATTGCATTGAATGTGTAGATTGCTCTGGGCAGCATAGATATTTTCACAATGTTTATTCTTCCAATCCATGAGCATGGGATGTTTTTTCCATCTCTTTGTGTCTTCCTCAATTTCTTTCATAAGTGTTCTGTAGTTTTTAGAGTATAGATCCTTTACCTCTTTGGTTAGGTTTATTCCTAGGTAACTTACGGTTTTTTGGTGCTATTGTAAATGGAATCGATTCCTTAATTTCTCTTCTTTCAGTCACATTGTTAGTGTATAGAAATGCAACTGATCTGTGCATTGGTTTTGTATACTGCCACATTGCTGAATTGCTGTATGAGTTCTAGTAATTTTGGGGTGGAGTCTTTTGGGTTTTCCACATTAAGTATCATGTCGTCTGTGAAGAGAGAGAGTTTGACTTCTTCTTTGCCAATTTTTTTTAAGATTTTATTTATTGATTTGAGACACAGAGATAAAGAGAGAGAGAGAAAGCATGAGCAGGGAGAGAGGGAGAGGGAGAAGCAGGCTCCTCGCTGAGCCAGGAGCCTGATGTGGGGCTCGATCCCAGGATCCTGGGATCATGACCTGAGCCGAAGGCAGATGCTTAACGATCTGAGCCACCCAGGCGCCCCTCTTCTTTGCCAATTTGAGTGCATTTTATTTCTTTTTGTTGTCTGATTGTTGAGGCTAGGACTTCTAGTACTGTGTTGAACAAAAGTGGTGACAGTGGGCATCCCTGTCATGTTTCTGACCTTAAGGGAAAAAGTCTCAGTTTTCCCCCATTGAGAATGATATGTGCAGTGGGCTTTTCAAAGATGGCTTTATGATATTGAGGTATGTTCCCTCTATCCCTGTATTTGAACAGTTTTAATCAGGAAAGGATGCTGTATTTTGTGAAATGCTTATTCTGCATCAATTGAGAGGATCATGTGGTTCTTGTCTCTTGTTAATGTGATCTATCACGTTGATTGCTTTGTGAATGTTGAACCACCCTTGCATCCCAGGAATAAATCCCACCTGGTCGTGGTCAATAATCCTTTTCATGTACTCTTGGATCCTGTTGGCTAGGATCTTGGTGAATATTTTGGCATCCATGTTCATCAGGGATATTGGTCTGTAATTCTCCTTTTCAATAGGGTCTTTGTCTCTTTTGGGGATCAGGGTAATGCTGGCCTCATAGAATGAGTTTGGAAGTTTTCCTTCCATTTCTATTTTTTTGGAACAGCTTCAGAAGAATATTTCTTCTTTAAATGTTTGGTAGAATTCCCCTGGGAAGCCATCTGGCCTTAGGCTCTTGTTTTTTGGGAGATTTTTGATGACTGTTTCAATTTCCTTGCTGGTTATTGCTCTGTTCAGATTGTCTCTTCCTTCCTGTTTTAGTCTTGGTAGTTTGTAAGTGTCCAGGAATGCATCCATTTCTTCCAGATTCCCTAGTTTGTTGGCATATAGCTGCTGATTTCTCCTCTTTAATTCATGATTTTATTAATTTGGTTCCTTTCTCTTTTCTTTTGGATAAGTGTGGCCAGACATTTATTGATCTTATCACTTCTTTCAAAGAACCAGCTTCTAGTTTCGTTGATCTGTTCTACTGTTCTTCTAGTTTCTATTTCATTGATTTCTGCTCTAATCTTTATTATTTGTCTTCTCCTGCTTGGTTTAGGCTTTATTTACTGTTCCTTCTCCATATCCTTTCAGTGTGACTAACTGAAATTTAAATAAAAAACTTGGAACTATAAAGAAATAAAGTTCTAATTCTTTTTTTTTAAGGTTTTATTTATTTACTTGAGAGAGAGAAAGCACGGGCAGGGAGAGGGGCAGAGGGAGAAACAGGTTCCCCACTGAGCAGGGAGCCTGACATGGGGCATATCCCAGGACCCCCGGATCATGACCCAAGCCAAAGGCAGACACTTAACTGACTGGACCACCTAGGTGCCCCTAAAGTTCTAATTCTTGACTTAACCTTTGTAGCCACATATCTTGTGACTTCCCAGCACCCTCCCTGACTCCCATTTCCTCAACATGCTCTTTTTGGCTATGCTGCCAAGTCTTTGCAATTTTTGGGTCCATTCGAGTATACTCCCTACCTAGAACTTATCTGCTAGTCTTGTTCATCCTTCAAGATCAATTCAGACATGTCTTCTCTGGGGAGCTTTTCTCAGATGATTATTCCTTCTCCTTTTGGGGAGCATGGCATTATAATTGTGACTTAATTAATTGTGAGATTCTTGAGTTCAAGGACTATTTTCTAGCCCCCTTGAAGTACCAGTGCCTGGTACAGAGTGGGCACTAAATAAATATGTGATGAAATAATGTTTCTTTATTCTAGACTATGGTTAGAAAAGGAGGGATGATGGGTGAATAATTTTGTGCCTTGTGTCCTTCCAGCTTGGAAGACAGTACGAGCTCTTTGCTGTGGTTGCCCATGTGGGGGCAGCTGACTTTGGTCATTACTGTGCCTATATCCAGAACTCTGTGGATGGAAAATGGTTCTGCTTCAACGATTCCAATGTTTCTTGGGTGAGAACATCGTCCAAAATTTCCTCTTGTCCTGGATTGGCCACCTCTAATAGATTCTGAACCCAGGACTAGATGGGTCCTCAAGGTCAGGACACATTGTGGGCCAGTTCTCTCTGTGTGGGGGGGACTGTAAACAGTCCTTTTCTTTATAAAAAGCTTTTTTAAATTCACGTATAGTTTACACAATGTTACATTAGTTCCAGGTGTACAGTATAGTGATTCAACATGTGTATACATTACGCTGTGCTCTCTGCAAGTGTAGCTACCATCTGTCACTGTACAATGCTATCACAGTATCACTGACTATATTCCTTACGCTGTGCCTTTTTCTTTTTGAGAAAGAGAGAGAGAGAGAGAACAAGCGGGGCTGGGGCATAGGGAGAGAATCCCAAGCAGGCTCCATGCAGAGCCCTCATGTGGGGCTTGATCTCACAACCCTGAGATCATGACCTGAGCTGAAATCAAGAGTCGAATGCTTAATTGACTGAGCAACACAGGTGCCCTATGCTGTGCATTTTATTCCTGTGACTTATTCCATAACTGGAAGCCTGTATCTTTCACTCTTCCTCACCCATTTTGCCCATCCCCGCCTCCCCTCTGGCAACCATCGGTTTGTTCTGTTTATAGGTCTGATTCTGCTTAAAGTCCTTTTCTGCATGAAGTCCCCATCTGATGTATAGCCCTGTGAGAGTTCACTTAGCTCAGTGTCTAGGTTTTTTGGTGTCTTCTGTCTGTGGGAAACTTACAGAAAGCAAGAAGAGTTAGATATATGTAAGTTAGAACCAAGCACAATCAAGTTTAAATAGAGGAAACAGGGTACTAAAAGAGGCTTCATAAACATGGCATCCTATCACTGGATGATCCAGGTCTTGAGAGGTACAGGGTTGGGTTTGTCTGGATGAGTGAGGTGGGGTAAATAGCACCCCATACTCTCTGGGTGCTTAACAGATGTCAGCTCGATGCTTCACTTCATCTATTTATGTACTTCCAGGTATCCTGGGAAGACATCCAGTGTACTTATGGAAATCATAACTACCGCTGGTAAGTGTTTGAGTGATGGAAACCCAATGAGTTTACACAGGGTTCTTATTGCTGTATGAAACTCCCATGGATTCAGCTGCCACTTGTATTTGGGTAACTTCCCAGTGACTAGCTGTTCAGCCTCATCTCTCATTACACATCTCACCATACCATGCATTTTTCACAATTTAGATGTCAATAATACTAAAGTATAACTACTCCCCAAACATCATATCTCCATAGCTTGCACATGAAGTTCCTGGTTTGTTTCTCCTCTCCTAAGTTATTGTTGAGGCAAACACCCACTCATGCTTTTATATCTCTGCTCATGGCTTTTCCTACTCTGTAAAGCCTGCACTGATTGACGCTGGAAGATTTGTAGGGGCTTCTCATATGCTTGCCGGGCACTTTAAGCATACGTCCTTTGTAGCAAGGACTACCCTATTTGTAATTGTTTGCATATATAACTTTCTTTTATATTAGACCATGAGCTATTTGGGATAAAGGATCATTCTTTTTCTTTGTCTGGTACAGTGGCTTGCATTTAGTAAATAGCTATAAATATGTTTTTAAAAATCAACAACTACAGGGGGGCAGCTAGAGAAGCCGGATGAAGGGTTTTCTTAAAGATTTTTTTTTTTTAATTTGAGAGAGAGAGCACAAATAGGGGGAGTGGCAGGCAGAGGGAGAGGGAGAGGGAGAAGCAGACTCCCCACTGAGCATGGAGTCTGATGCGGGACTCGATCTCAGGACACTGGGATCATGACATGAGCTGAAGGCAGACACTTAACTGACTGAGACACACAGGTGCCCCAGGATGAAGGGTTTATTTATTTATTTATTTATTTCATCTTTTTTAAAAAAAATTGTTCTGTTAGCCACTGTATAGTGCATCATTAGTTTTTGATGTAGTGTTCAACGATTCCTTAGTTGCATATAACACCCAACGCTCATCACAGCATGTGCCCTCCTTAATACCCATCACCCGGCTGCCCCATCCCCCACCCCCCTCCCCTCTGAAACTCTCAGATTATTTCCCGGAGTCCAGAGTCTCTCATGGTTCCTCTCCCTCTCTGATTTCTTCCCATTCAGTTTTTCCTCCCTTCCCCTATGGTCCTCTGCTCTATTCCTTATGTTCCGCATATGAGTGAAACCATATGATAATTGTCTTTCTCTGCTTGATTTATTTCACTTAGCATAATCCCCTCCAGTTCCATCCATGTCGATGCAAATGGTGGGTATACATCCTTTCTGATGGCTGAATAATATTCCATTGTATATATGAACTGCATCTTCTTTATCCATTCATCTGTTGAAGGGCATCTTGGCTCCTTCCACAGTTTGGCTATTGTGGACATTGCTGCTATGAACGTTGGGGTGCATGTGCCCCTCCTTTTTACTACATCTGTATCTTTGGGGTAAATACCTAGTAGTGCAATTGCTGGGTCATAGGGTAGCTCTATTTTCAACTTTTTGAGGAATGCCCATACTGTTTTCCAGAGTGGCTGTACCAGCTTGCATTCCCACCAACAGGGTAGGAGGGTTCCTCTTCCTTCGCATCCCCGCCAACATTTGTTGTTTCCTGCCTTGTTAATTTTGGCCGTTATAAATGGTGTAAGGTTATATTTCATTGTAGTTTTGATTTGTATTTCCCTGATGGCTAGTGATGTTGAACATTTTTTCATGTGTCTGTTAGCCATTTGTATGTCTTCTTTGGAGAAGGTTTGTTCAGGTCTTCTGTCCATTTTTTGACTAGATTTTTTTTGGGGGGGTGTTGAGTTTGAGAATTTCTTTATAGATCTTGGATACCAGCCCTTTATTTGATAAGACATGTGCAAATATCTTCTCCCATTCTGTGGGTTGCCTCTTAGCTTTGTTGACTGTTTCCTTTGCTGTGCAGAAGCTTTTTATCTTGATGAAGTCCCAAAAGTAATTTTTGCCTTTGTTTCCCTTGCCTTTGGAGATGTGTCTAGCAAGAAGTTGCTGGACTGAGGTCCAAGAGTATCCTGCCTGTGTTCTGCTGCAGGATTTTGATGAATTACTGTCTCACATTAGGTCTTCCATCCACCTTGAGTTTATTTTTGTGTATGGTGTAAGAGAATGTCCAGTTTTATTCTTCTGCGTGTGGCTGTACAGTGTTCCCAGCACCATTTGTTGAAGAGACTCTTTTTTTTCCACTGGACATTCTTTCCTGCTTTGTTGAAGATTAGTTGACCATAGACATGAGGGTCCATTTCTGGGCTCTTTATTCTGTTCCCCTGATCTATCTGTCTGTTTTTGTGCCAATACCATACTGTCTTGATTACAGCTTTGTAATAGAGCTTGAAGTCCGGAATTGTGATGCCACCAGCTTTGCTTTTCTTTTTCAACATTCCTCTGGCTATTCGGGGTCTTTTCTGGTTCCATACACATTTTAGGATTATTTCTTCCAACACTGAGAAAAATGTTGATGGTATTTTGATAGGGTTTGCACCCATTGAATGGATGGATTGCTCTGAGGAGCATAGACATTTTAACAATATTTGTTCTTCCAGTCCATGAGCATGGAATGTTTTTCCATGTCTTTTTGTCTTCCTCAATTTCTTTCATAAGTGTCCTATAGTTTTCAGAGTACAGATCCTTTATCTCTTTGGTTAGGTTTATTCCTAGGTATTTATAGGTTTTGGTGCAATTGGAAATGGGATCGATTCCTTGGTTTCCCTTTCTATTGCCTCATTGCTACTGTATAGAAATGCAACGGACTTTTATGCATTGATTTTATATCCTGCCACTTTGCTGAATTCCTGTATCAGTTCTAGCAATTTTTTTGGTGGAGTCTTTTGGGTTTTCCACATAGAGTATGATGTCATCTGTGAAGAGTGAAAGTTTGACTTCATTGCCGATTTGGATGCCTTTTATTTGTTTTTGTTGTCTGATTGCTGAGGCTAGGACTTCTAGTACTATGTTGAACAACAGTGATGAGAGTGGACATCCCTGTTATGTTCCTGACCTTAAGGGAAAAGCTCTCAGTTTTTCCCCATTGAGAATGATATTCACTGTGGGCTTTTTGTATATGGCTTTTGTGATCTTGAGGTAATTTCCCTTTATCCCTACATTGTAGAGAGTTTTAATCAAGAAAGGATGCTGTACTTTGTCAAATGCATTTTCTGCATCAATTGAGAGAATCATATGGTTCTTGTTCTTTCCTTTATTAATGTGGTGTATCACATTGATTGATTTACAGATGTTGAACCATCCTTGCAGCCCAGGAATAAATCCCTCTTGGTCCTGGTGAATAATCCTTTGAATGTTGGATCCTATTGGCTAGTATCTTGGTGAAAATTTTTGCCTCCATGTTTGTCAGGGATATTGGTCTGTAATTCTCCTTTTTGATGGGGTCTTTGGTTTGGGGATCAAGGTAATGCTGACCTCTTATAATGAGTTTGGAGGTTTTCCTTCCATTTCTATATTTTGACACAGAAAATAGGTATGATTTCTTCTTTAAATGTTTGGTAGAATTCACCTGGGAAGCCATCCAGCCCTGGACTTTGTTATTTGGGAAGTTTTTTTCATTACTGCATCAATTTCCTTGCTGGCTGTGGGTCTGATCAGGTTTTCTATTTCTTCCTGTTTCAGTTTTGGTAGTTTATATGTTTCTAGGAATGCATCCTTTTCTCCAGATTGCCTAATTTGTTGGTATGTTGTTGCTCTATAGTCTAGTAATTGTTTGTATTTCCTGAGTGTAGGTTGTGATCTCTCCTCTTTCATTCATGATTTTATTAATTTGGGGCCTTTCTCCTCTCTCTCTCTCTCTCTCTTTTTGTTAAGTCTGGCTATAGGTTTATCAATCTTATTAATTCTTTTAAAGATCAGCTCCTGATTTCCCTGATCTGTCCTACTGTTTTCTTTTATTTCTATATCATTGATATCTGCTCTAATCTTTATTATTTCTCTTCTCCTGCTGGTTTTAGGCTTTATTTGCTCTTCTTTCTCTAGCTCCTTTAGGTGTAAGTTTAGCTTGTATACGTGAGACTTGTTCCTTGAGAAAGGTCTGTATTGTTATGTACTTCCCTCTAGGATTGTTTTTCCTGCATCCCAAAGATTTTGAGCAGTTGTATTTTCATTTTCATTTGTTTCCATGAATTTTTAAAAATTCTTCTTTAATTTCCTGGTTGAACGATTCATATTCATTAGTAGGATGCTCTTTGACCTCCATGTACTTGTGTTCTTTCCAAATTTTCTCTTGTGATGGAGTTCAAGTTTTAAAGCACTGTGGTCTGAAAATATGCAAGGAATAATCCCAATCTTTTGATACTGGTTGAAACCTGATTTGTGATCCAGTGTGTGATCTCTTCTGGAGAATGTTCCAGAATATGTATTCTGTTGCTTTAAGATGGAATGCTCTGTATATATCTGTGACATTCATCTGGTCCAGAGTGTCATTCAAAGCCCTTGTTTCCTTGTTAATATTCTGCTTAGATTATATGCCCATTGCTGTGAGTGTGGTGTTAAAGTCCCTTATTATTGTATTATTATCAATGTGTTTCTTTAATTTTGTTATTAATTGGCCTATTAATTGGCTGCTCCAAGCTAGGGGCATAAAGATTTACAATTGCTAGATCTTCTTGTTGGATAGAGCCTTTAATTATGATAGAGTGCCCTTCTTCATCACTTATTACAGTCTTTGGTCTAAAATCTATTTTGTCTGATATAAGGATTGCTACTCCAGCTTTCTTTGGATATCCATTAGCATGATAAATGATTCTCCACTTCCTCACTTTTAATCTGGAGGTGTCTTTGGGTCTAAATATAGATAGCATTTCAATGGGTCTTGTGTTTTTATCCTTTCTGATACCCTCTGTCTTGATTGGAGCATTTAGTCCATTTACATTCAGAGTAATTATTGAAAGATATGAAGTGCCATTGTATTACCTATAAAGTTGCTGTTTCTCTAGATCATTTTTTCTTTCTGACTTTGTTACTTTTGGGCTCTCTCTTCGCTTAAAGGATCCCCTTTAATATTTCTTTCAGGTCTGGTTTAATGATCACAAATTCTTTTAGTTTCTGTTTGTCCTGGAAGCTCTTTATCTCTCCTTCCATTCTGAATGACAGCCTTGCTGGATAAAGTATTCTTGGCTGCATATTTTTCCCCTTTAGCATGTTGAATATATCATGCCCCTCCTTTTTGGCCTGCCAGGTCTGAGGATAGGTCTGCTGCCAGCCTTATGTTCTGCCCTTGTAGATTAAGGACCTGTTGTCCTGAGCTGCTTTCAGGGTTTTCTGTTTGTCTCTGAAATGTGCAAACTTCACTATTATATGTTGAGGTATTGAACTATTTTTGTTGATTTTGAGGGGGGTTCTCTGGACCTCCTGGACTTGAATGCCTGCTTCCTTTCACAGATTAGGGAAGTTCTCCTCTATATTTTGCTCAAATAAACCTTCTGCCCCCTGTCTGTCTTTTCTTCCCCTGGGACCCCAATTATTGTAATATTGTTTTGCTCTGTGGTATCACTTATCTCTAGAATTCTTCCCTCGTGATCCAATAGTTGTTTATCTCTCTTTTTCTCAGCTTTTTTATTCTTCATCATTTTGTTTTCTATATCACTATATCATTTATCCCAGCAGTTAGAGCCTCCATTTTGGATTGCATCTCGGTAATACCTTTTTTGATTTCAACCTGATTAGATTTTAATTCTTTTGTTTCTCCAGAAAGAGATTTTCTGATGTCTTCTATGCTTTTTTCAAGTCCTCTGGTATCTTTATTATTGTTCTAGTTCTGTTTTATTATCAAATTCTAGTTCTGACATCTTACTTATATCCATATTGATTAAATCCCTGGCAGTGAGTACTGTCTCTTGTTCTCTTTTTTGGTTGAGTTCTTCTGCATTGTCATTGTGTCCAGAGAAGAATAGATGAAAGAGAGCAGAAAAGATAAAAATAGGAAAATATTTTTCTAAATATACACTGACAAATATACAGGAAAATATACAATAAACAAATCAGAAGAGATCAGAAGCCAAAAAAGAAAAAAAAAAAGAAATAGAATAAAACAGAAGATGAACAAAACAGAATAATAAACTAGATCCTGGGTGTATTTTGGTCTGTTCATCAGAAGAAACTAGATCCCAAATTGTAAAGAAAGAAAACATATATATATATACACACAAAAATAAAATTGAATACAATGAAAGCAATCCAAAAATGGTAAATATGTGTAAGATGTAAATGTAAAAATATAAATTAAAAAAGACCTAAAAAAGAGTTGATAAAATAAATTACGTGAAAAGGAAAAAATTTAAAAGTGAAAGACTAAAGAATCATGAGAAAGACCCATGAATTCTACATATGGTTTTCTCCTAACGCTGGAGTTTTGCAGTTCTGTATGGTCAGTAAACTTGGTATTAGCCAGATGTTCTTGCTGATATTCTGGGGGGAGGGGCCTGTTGCATTGATTCTAACGTGTCTTTGCTTGGGTGGTATTGCACCCCCTTGCCAAGGGGGCTAAGCTCAGTATAAATGGCTCTGGATTGCTCTACGTGGGTTTTGTCCCTGAAGGCTTCAGCACTGATTTGGGGGATGAAAATGAAAATCGTGGTGACCCGATCTCCAGCCTTAGAGCTAAAAGATTGTACCCCCCCCACTACCCAGTGTGCCCTCAGGGAAAAGCAGTCAATCACGCTTGTCTCCCTGGTTTCCATCTGTAGTGCTCACCTAGCCTGTGATGGAGCACTTTTATCTTAGGCATGTGACCCCCTTTTGAGTCTCCAAATTTTAGACTCCTGTGGTGCACACTTGCCTCAGTTTTGCCTTTTTCTGGGCCCCTGCTTCGAGAGTGGTCCCCCAACCATGCAGCGGTCCAAGGTTTATGGCAACACAAAGCAGAAAACCCACTCCTGGGCTCGCTGTTTGCAGCCGGGTTCCCTGCTGCTTGGGAACTCTGCCACACTCAGGCACCCTGTTATTTCTGTGACCCTGGGGATCCTGAGACCATATCGTCCCACCTGGGATTCTGCCCTGCTTTGCCACGTGAGCGCCTTTCAAGCAGGGATGTCCCCTACTGTAACAGAGTTCTAAAAATTCTGATTTTACACTCCACTGTTAATATCACTTTCTGGTAGCCAGCTACAGAGGCTCCCTCCCCCTGAGGTTTATCTTCCCATATATCACCTCAGATTCACTTCTCCACACCTCCTACCTTGCAAAAAGTGGTCACTTTTCTATTTGTAGAATTGCAGCAGTTCTTTTCTTAGATCTCCAGTTGAGTGCACAGGTGTTCAGAATGATGTAATGAGCACTGGGTGTTATACTGATCTGATGAGTCATTGAACATTATTTCAAAAACCAATGATGTACCATACCTTGGCTAATTGAATTTAAATTTTAAAAAAAGAATGATTTGATAGCTATATAGCTGAATTCCAAGGACCAGATGAAATTAGGGTCCCACTTCTCTGCCATCTTACCTCTGTGCCTCCAGATGAAGTTAAAGCAGAGAGACTTTGTAAGTTTTTCCAGTTGAGTTTCTGGGTTAGGGGTGACACTGTATACAAGAGGTGATATTTGAAATGATTTTAGCTGCAGGAGTATGCCTGATCACTTGAAAAATAATGAAGTAGCTAAAATTTGTGTTTGAAATCCTCTTACAATCTTCTACTTATCTTCGTCTTTTCTTTCTTCTGAACATCTCCCTTAGATGATCATTCTATGTCACTTTCTGGTTGTCAGTGATTCTTCCATTATTTAAATCAGGGTTTGGCAAACTGTTTCTGTAAAGGGCCAGAGAGTAAATATTTTAGGCTTTATGAGCCATACAGTCTCTGTTGCAACCACTCAGCTCTGCTCTTGTAGCACAAAAACAGCCACAGACAATACGTGAATGAATGAGTGTCACTGTGTTCTGGTTAAATTTATTTGCAAAAATAGGGTTAGATTTGGCTTGTGGGCTGATAGTTTGTCAAACCCTGATACAGATGTCAACTAATAGAAGCTTAGTGGCTATTTTCCCAGGTTACCCATTTTTTTTTCCCTCTGAGGTGATGGATAGATGAAGACTTGATCCAACAACCAGAAACTTTTCTGATGTTTGTCCTATCATGAATTAATATGTCCGTTAACTATGAATGTTTCATTTCTGTTATGCTGTTGCATTTTTTTTTCTTTCTAGGAGAGAAACTGCTTATCTTCTGGTTTACATGAAGATTGAGTCCTAATGGATGTTCCCTAAACCTTCAGAGACTGACAATGTTTCATTTTCCTTTCTATCCCTGGATCTGCTACTCTTGCAAGAGATTTTGCAGTGAGAAGAAGCCTCATTTTCAAATTGTATAGTCAAACTATTTATAATAAGGGGTAATTATCAAAATATTTAACAGTAACTTTGCAGGGGTCTTGATCAGTCAGAACAGACACTTCCACGTGGACCCTGGCCATATGGCTGGGGCAGGGACCTGAGTGCTCCCCGCTGTGGAAGACATTAATTCTTTAGTTAGGGGAGTGTGGGAGCCCAGATGTTCCTAGGGGAGGAGAAACCAGGCCAACAATGGTAGTGGGAGGCATTCAGGTGGCAAGGAGCATTGGTAGGGAAGTATTTCAGTATTTTACAGCCAGTATGACGGTATGATATGTACTGGCAGAATATGATTTTTCTTTAATTTAAAACAATTTTAGAACCCATATCAGTTCTGTAAAAGTCAAGTGTTTTGTCACTGTTATTCATTTATGTGACAAATATGTATTGATCACCTACTCTACCTAAGATAGTGTGGTAGGCACCATTGTGAATAAAGTTCTTTTTCTCAAAAGTAGTTTGCAGTTTAATGGGGGGGGTGATTAAAATACATAAAATACTGAGGATTTGTGCTACAGGAATTAAAGGACAGTGAAATACTTCTATTGTGGGGCCATGGGAGAAACCATAAAGCTGGAAAGGGGTTTAGGATGGAGAACAGTCCATTTACATGGGTAAGCATACACAATGGCATGGCTGAGAAAGGCAAGGCTCGAGGTTCAAAGATTATCCACAAACCTGGCTTCCCTCTACCAAGGAAGCAGTGGAGATTGATAAGGCTGGATGGTAAGTGGCACTCAGAATGTAGAAGGTCTTGAACTACTAAGAAGTTTGGATCTAATTTAATAGGTAATGAGGAACTGTTGAAGGGTTTCAAAATAAAAGGAACATTTAGTGGTGTTTTTGGTAAAATGAATCTGCTGGGGCTGGCAACATGAATTAGAGACAGAGATGGTAATGTAAATGGAAAAGTGTTCATAGTCACTAGAGCCATTTTGGAGGAAGAATGGATGTGGACAGTGAGAGAAAAAGGGTCCAGGGGGACTCCACTACCACCTTGGAAGGTGAGGAGGGTAGATGTTACTATCCCCATTTTACAAAAAACAATTGAGACATTCATATGTTTAATAACTTGCTCAAGATTTCATACTTAATAAGGGGCAGAGTCAAAACTTCCAACATAAAATGTGGATAATTTTATTGGCAAAAAAATTAGCCATCGAATAATAAATTCTCACAATATAGAAATATAATACACAATATTCTATATAGAATATATATAGAAATATATAGAATCTCTTCCTTAGAGCTAACCATTGTTAAACAGGTGTAAATTAGCTTCCTAGCACTGCCACAGCAAATTATCACAAAATGGTGGCTTAAAACAACAAATTTTTCTCTCTCACAGTACAAGGAGGTCAGAAGTTCAAAGTAAGGTGTTGGCAAGGTTGGTTCCTTCTGGAGCGTCTGAGGGAGAATCTGTTCCATGCTTCTCTCCTAGTTTCTGGTGGTTACCAGCAGTCCTTGTCATTGCCCTGTAGCTAATGTCACACTGTCTCCATCTTCACATGACCTTCTTCCGTGTATGTCTTCATATGACCTTTATATAAGTATACTGGTCATTGAATTTAGGTCCCACCCTAATCCACTGTGACCTCATTTTTACTTGGTTAATTATATCTGTGAAGACTCTATTTCCAAATAAGTTCATGTTCTAGGGTTCTAGAAAGACATGAATTTTTGTGGGATACTATTCAGTGCAGTACAAGGTGTGTATGTCACTAGGCTGTTTTCTGTGCATTTGCATACATATATCACATATATAATTTTTACATAATAAGTTATTCACTTAATGTCTTAGAAAATATTCTTGGAAAAGTTGCATTTAATTCCATAAATACGTATATTTTTTAGATTCCCATATTGGTGATTTATGTTAAGGGCTACTTCAATTTCTTCAGTATTTAAGAAATGCAGAGTGAATCACTACCTTTAGACATATTTTTGTGCATGTATAAATATTTCTGTAGGTACTGAGAAGTGAAATTAGGTCAAGGGCATGGGTATCTAAAAATAGCACTAGATACTAGTACTAAATTGACTCCAATTAACACCAGTAACTTGTTAGGCTGCTGCTTTTTTTTTTTTTTTTTTTTTTTAAGTAGGCTCCATGTCCAGCAATGGAGTCCACCATGGAGCTTGAACTCATGACCCTGAGATCAAGACCTGAGCTGAGATTGAGTCAGATGCTTAACAGACTGAGCCACCCAGGTGCCCCCTAGGCTTCTTTTTCCCTCAAGTTTTAAATTCCATTTAACATACAATGTGATATTAGTTTCAGGTGTATAATTGAGTGATTCATCACTTACATTCAACACTCAATGCTCATTACAAGTGCCCTCCTTAATGCCTATCACCCATTTAACCCATTCCCCCCACCCACTTCCCCTCCAGCAACCCTTGGTTTGTTCTCTATATTTAAGAGTCTGTTTTCTGGTTTGCCCCTCTTTTTTCCCCTATGTTCATCTGTTTTTTTTTCCTTAAATTCCACATATGAGTGAAATAATATGGTATTTGTCTTTCTTTGACTTACTTTACTTAGCATAATACTCTGTAGCTCCCTCCACGTCATTGCAAATGGCAAGATTTCATTCTTTTTTATGGCTGAGTAAAATGCTTTTGCATTTTGTATATATACCTGAACTTCTTTATCCATTCATCAGTTGATGGACATTTGGACACTTTCTATAATTTGGCTATTGTTGATAATGCTGCTATAAACATTGGGGTGTGTGTATCCCTTTGAATCAGTATTTTTGTATCCTTTGCCTAAATACCTGGTAGTGCAATTGCTGGATTGTAGGGTATTTCTATGTTTAACTTTTCAAGGAACCTCCACATTGTTTTCCAGAGTGGTTGCACCAGTTTGCATTCCCACGAACAAACTTTCCCTACATCTTTGCCAACCTCTATTGTTTCCTATGTTGTTAATTTTAGCATTCTGACAAGTATGAGGTGATACTTCATTGTAGTTTTGATTTGTATTTTCCTGATGATGAGTGATGTTGAGCATCTTTTCATGTGTCTGTTAGCCATCTGTATATCTTCTTTGGAAAAATGTCTATTCATGTCTTCTGCCCATTTTCAAACTGGATTGTTTTTTGGGTGTTGAGTTTTATAACTTCTTTATTTATTTTGGCTACTACCCTTGCAAATGACATATCTGACAAAGGGTTAGTAACACCAATTTTCAAGTTTTAACTTTTTTCATTCTGAGAAATCTGGATTAAATTTGATCTTTACAGATTAAGACAGTTGAGCTTCTTTCCATGTTTATTGACCATTCATTTTTCTTCTGTGAATTTCTTATGATGTCCTTTGTCCTTGTGTTAACACACAACAAAGACAAGATTTTATTTAAATAGTTTTCATTTTATTTTTTAACTGATAAGCATTTTATTTTTTAATTAACATATAATGTATTATTTGTTTCAGGTGTACAGGTCTGTGATTCATCAGTCTTACACAATTCACAGCACTCACATAGCACATACCCTCCCCAAAGTCCAAGCATTTTATTTTCATTTTGTGTGTGTGTGTAGAATGCGACTTTCTTTTTTTATATTATGTTCAATTAGCCAACATATAGTATATAATTAGTTTTTGATGTAGTGTTCAATGATTCATATTTTAGAGAGAGGAGAGTGAGAATGGGGGGGAGGGATAGAGGAAGAGGGAGAGAGGCAATCCTCAAGAGACTCCTTGCTGAACACAGAGCCCAATGTGAGGCTCAATCCCAGGACCCTGAGATCGTGCCCTGAGCTGAAATCAAGAGTCAGCTGCTTAACCAACTGAGCCACCCAGGCTTCCCAAGTGTTTGCTATTTTTATTTTAACTTTTTCCTTCCTAGATTTATTTAAATTCAAGTTAGTTAACATATAGTGTAGTATTAGTTTCAGGAGTAGAATTTAGTCACTCATCACTTACATATAACACCCAGTGCTCATCACAACAAGTGCCCTTCTTAATGCCCATCACCCATTTACACCATCCTCCCACCCACCTCCCCTGCAGCAAATCTGTTTGTTCTCTAAGGTCAAAAGTCTCCTATGGTTTGTCTCCCTCTCCGTTTTTATCTTATTTTTTCCTTCCCTTCCCCTATGTCTGTTTTGTTTCTAAATTCCACATATGAGTGAAATCGAATGGTATTTGTCTTTCTCTTACTTACTTCTCTTAGCATAATACCCTCTAGTTCTATCCATGTCATTGCAAATAGCAAGATTTCATTCTTTTTGATGACTAATATTCAATTGTATTTCTACACCACATCTTTATCCATTCATCTGTTGTTGGACACCTTGGCTATTGTGGACATCATTGCTATGAACATTGGGGTGCGTGTGCCCCTTCCAATCACTGTGTTTGTATTCTTTGGATAAATACCAAGTAGTGCAACTGCTGGGTCATAGGATAGTTCTACTTTTAACTTTTTGAGTTACAAAAAGGGGACCTCCATACTGTTTTCCAGAATGGCTGTACCAGTTTGCATTCCCACCAACAGTATAAGTATGGCTCAGTCATTAAGCATCTGCCTTCGGCTCAGGTCATGATCCCAGGATCCTGAGATTGAGCCCTGCATTGTTTTCCAGAGTGGTTGCACCTTTCTCTGCATCCTCACCAACATTTGTTGCTTCCTGAGTTGTTAATTTTAGCCATTCTGACAGGTGAGAGGTGGAATCCCATTGTGGTTTTTTTATTACCTATTTATTTTAAAAAATTCTTTAAATTTAATTTAGTTAACATATACTGTATTATTAGTTACCAGGGTAGAATTTAGTGATTTGTCATTTGCATATAACACAATATAACGTCATTACATCAAGTGTCCTACTTAATGCCCAATTACCTCTTTCCCCCGCCCAC